ATGATAAAGGTCATTTTATAAATAATGCATTTGCATTCTTATTTGATGAAATTAGATATGAAGTCGCAGGTAAAGAAATAGACATTGTAAGAAACCCAGGAATTTCTAGTCTTATGAAAATATTGAGCTCTTACAATAAAACAACTAAATTGTCAAATGTGGCATTTGATTCTGACACGAATTTAAAAGAGTTCCATAAAAGTGGCAAGTTTAGTACTTGTTTGCCATTAGAACTGTTAATGGGTGTATTTGAGGATTTTAATAAGGTATTAGTAAATGTCAAACAAGAATTGGTGTTGAAAAGATCCAAAAATGATTTGAATTGTATATTAACAACCACTAGTGCTCCAGCCAGTGGTACTGCTGATATGATTCCTAAAATTACACTTAACTCAATTCAATGGGTGATGCCACATGTAATACCATCAGATGGGGAGAAGTTACAATTACAAAAGATGTTACTGCAAAATAAAAATTTGCAAATTGCATTTAGAAGCTTAGAGTTGCATGAACTTCCATCATATCCCAATACTACAAGACATACATGGTCAGTAAAGACATCTTCAAGTTTGGAGAAGCCTAGGTATATTATATTTGGTTTCCAAACAGCTAGGGATAATAGTGCACGAAAAAGAACTGATGAATTTGATCACTGTAAGTTAAAAAATCTCAAAGTATTTCTAAACTCTGAATATTATCCTTATAGTGATTTAAATCTCGACTTTGAAAATGGAGATGTCTCTAAAGCTTATGAGATGTTTATGAGGTTTAGAGAGACTTACTATAATACTATCCCAGATCCTATGATTAGTAGGGCTGAGTTTATGAAGAAATATCCACTAATTGTAATAGACTGTTCTAGACAGAACGAAACAGTGAAGGAAGGAATTGTTGATATTAAATTAGAGATTGAAACTGCAGAAAATGTACCAGCAAATACATCTGCATATTGTTTGATAATACATGATAAAGTGTTTGAGTACAATCCTTTGTCAAATGAGATAAATAAAATGTAAATAAAAGATGAAAAACATTCAACAAGAATTGGTTGACTCTGCAAATCAAATACGAGAGAAATATAGAGCTTTAAAACGTGGCAAGTTTCTAGAGGCTGAAGAGAGGTTTCAAACATTCCAACCTTTAATAGAGCCATTACAAGAATTAAAAAAAATTGCCAAAACAGAGAGGCCTCGAATGGAGATTCTCCCAATGACTCCATCTAGAATACCAATAATACCAAGATTGCAACCATTACAACCACACACTCCACAGAAATTAGATTTTGGTCTTTTAGCATCAGACTATTTAGGAAATTACCTCAGTAAAAGTAGTATGACAGACACTACATATGGTATTAGACGAGAAGCAAATAAATTTTTTATTGGAAATAAGGAAGTTGATATTGCCAATGATGATGTTACAATTGCAAATAAAACCTACAAGGGGACAAAAGGTTTATGGCAATTGTTAACTTTAAAAGAACCTGAGGATTATACTCAGGCTGATTTACAAAATTATAAAGAGATTTTGGAAGCTACAAATGGACATTTAAAGAGTTACAAAGATGGTGCACCAATTTCAAGTAATAGACATACTAAATATCTTAATATAATTAAACCTCTATTTAAATCTGTTGGTGAAGGTTTGAGACAAGTGACTGGTAATAAAATAGACTATATTTATTGGGATGATCCTAATGAGCTTGTAGATAGGTTAAGACTTCTTTGGCTAAGTCGCCAAGCCGGTAACTCAGGAGTGGATAATGAAATAGATTCCATTATTGAGGAATTGAGAGAAAGTGGAATTATTTATTAAATAAAAATATGTTTATAGATAAATTTTATCGTTTATATAATCCATATAATAAGCCTGCAGAACCCAGGGCTAGTAGTGAACCTACTTTAAATTTACAAGACAATAGTTGGAATTGTTTAAACCGTAAAATTGGTAATGTTAAAGATGGGGAGTTTGTAGATGATGTATCAACTTTGGGCCAGACATTAACTAGAAAAGGTGATGTATTTTTACAAGGTAAAACTAAATACGAGTTTTTAGAATCTAAGAATAAAAATTGGAATGCTAAAAAACAGAAAATTACTAATGTGGAAAAGGGTGAAAGTTTAGATGATGTGCCCACTTTACAACAGACTTTAATACGAACAGCTGGTGGTACATTTGTACAAGACAATAATAATTATGAATTTTTAGAATCAGAGAATGGTATTTGGAATGCTAAGAAACGGAAAATTACTAATGTGGAAAAGGGTGAAAGTTTAGATGATGTGCCCACTTTACAACAGACTTTAATACGAAAAGAAGATGGTAAATTTATACAAGATGATAATAATTATGAATTTTTAGAATCTGAGAATGGTGTTTGGAATGCTAAGAAACAGAAACTTAGCAATTTGATGGAAGGTACAGATAGTAAAGATGCTGTGAATGTTTCACAAGTTCCAAAAATGGAAGCAGGCTATTGGGATTTTAATAATAAAAGGTTAGTACGTGTAAAACCCGCCGTTGATGACACTGACTGTGTTATAAAAGAACAGACTATAACTTTTGATAAAAAAGAAAAATGTTGGGATGCCAAAAAACAATTTATAAGGAATCTACCAGAGGGGGAACATTCAGATGATATTTGTCTAATGTCACAAGCTATGCATTACGATGGATCAAAATTTGTATATGGAGAAAAATTTTTTAATTTGATGGAATATAATCCTGATATATTAGTTGCTGACCCCACATCTTTGAGTGGATTTAAGTATATAGATAATAGACCATATATACCAGAAAACTATGTATTTAAAAGAATGGAAGATAATCTATTGATTGGGGCTAATGGTGATGTATTTAGAGTTACAGGAAAGGATGATGTTATAAAAAATGAATGAAATTGCATACGAACTTCATAAGCCTGCAAGAAAGAATTTCATTAGAAGATCTTTTAAAGTATTGGGTATAAACGAAACCATACAAATAGATTTAATTGATATGCAAAACTATGCTAGAGAAAATTCTGGCAATAAATATATTTTAACTTTAATAGATACATTTTCTAAAAAAGCTTATGCTGCTCCACTAAAGAATAAGACAGGGTTAGTGGTTACAGAAGCCATTAAAACCATTCTACCAAAGGGGGTTAAAAACATTCAATCTGACAATGGAAAAGAATTTTTTAATCAATATTTTAGCAAACTAAATATTAATCACTATCACACTTTTTCTACAACTAAGGCTGCAATTGTGGAGAGGTTCCAGAGAACTTTAAAGAATTGGTTATATAGGGAATTTAGTGCTCAGGGAAGTTATAAATGGTTGGATTTACTTCCAAAGTTAATTCGAAAATATAATAATAAGGTGCATAGATCTATAGGAATGAAGCCTAACCAAGTGAGTATTAAGAATAGTAAATATGTACATGAGAGGTTGACTTCTAAAGTAGAGCAAGTTAAAAAGCCAAGATATAAGGTAGGTGATAGCGTAAGGATTTCCAAGTATAAACATGTTTTTAGTAAAGGTTATACTCCAAATTGGACAGGGGAACTATTTACAATAGCAGAAGTTAAGAATACAAAGCCTGTGACTTATATCTTGAAAGATGAAAATGGCAATATAATCAGGGGAGGCTTCTATACAGAGGAGTTGTTAAAGACCAAGTATAAGGACATGTATTTGGTAGAGAAGGTAATTAGGAAAAAGGGTGATTTATTGTATGTCAAATGGCTTGGATTCCCAAGTAGCCAGAACTCATGGATTTCCACTAAGGATGTCCAAGGGAGCACGTCATGAGCCGGGAGCATGCCCGAGTTCGCGCGCAAACCTCACATGATTTTGAGAATATACTTGTGAATGAATGTGGATTTAAAATTTTAATGGAGTTTGAACATTTGTATGGGTTTGTATTGGACAAGATCCGGGTCTTTAAAAAAGTGGCCAAAATAATGAGCCATATTCCAGACGTGTTTTTCAGTATTAAAAAAGTAGAAAATTTATATAGGGGTGTATAGGTCAAGAGCTGGGTCTTTAAAAAAGTGGCCAAAAAAATGAGCCACTCATTTTTCTCATTTTTCCCCTATAAAAAGTGCCCTAAAAGTGCCTCTAAAACGCCGAAAGTGGGGTATCTTTGTCCTATTATATCTACTAATAGGACAGTAGGTGCAGGTTGCAGCACTTTGTATTGCATTGATTATGATTAGTGCTCATTACGTTCCGGTTTCCAAAATGCCTCTTCTTCTTCTAGCTAGCCAACAGGTGGTAAGTACCGTGCAGCAGTTAGGCTGCGGCCACACGGGCGTTTTTTCACGCAAGAACGCAGCGTGAAAAATTGCAAGAAATATGAGCAGCATTAAATGTAATGAGGTATGCCCATCGATCTCTATTATTAGTACTAATAGAGATCGATGGGTATGCCATGCCACATGCAGTGTGTTTTCCCACAGTAGTGGGCACCCATTTGTTTCAATGTTACTCTAATTTTTCGCATGTTTTCACGCTGCGTTTGTGCGTGAAAAAAACGCCCGTGTGGCCACAGCCTTAGGAGATTTTGTTGGATATTTCCTGTTCTTCAATATAGGTTGAGCAAATGGTTGAAAAGTACAGTAAATCAATAAAAATAATGATTCTAAGACGCATATTTTTTGTTCAGGCTGTGGGATAAGACTGAAAATTTTCACCCATAAACAAGTACATAGGTTTAACAAGCTACTTACTTGTTGGGAGTGTAAGATCATTGAGAAAACCTGCGATCATTAGAAAATAATCATTGCCAGTGTAATATTATTTTGATCTATTTATTACGATAAACTAGTAATATTGGTTCTTGTTCTAATCAACGAAGTAATACCATAGATAAAACATACTCCTCGACATTAGCCACTATAGATATGACGTCACCAAACCTTTAGCCATCGTCCCTCCCGTATGCTGCGTATGTCCATTCCGCCACAGGATACAAACAAGCAAATACAATACAAGTGACACTGACAGATCTCCGTTTTACCTTTTGTTGTTATTGTTTATGTTTGGTTTTAAGTTGTCCCTGATAATATAATCTAATATAAATTAATATCTTTATAACAAGTCATTTAGAAAGGCTTGTTTTGAAGGTAAGATTTTAAAATCATAAAAATGGGAAAAATTTAATTGGACCGTAAAAACAGTTTGTTCTTTAAATAATAAGCCTAGCCAACATGCCACACCTTCTTATCGAATGCCTGGCTAACATCCATGATGAGTAAAATATGAGTAAAAAGTTGTATTCAGAATACCATTTCCCATTGGCAGATGAGCCCTCAAGGATTTGAAGATCAAGATAGGGATGAGCATCGATAGGTCAACCGTCCATGAGTAAAAACAAAACAATCGGATTTGAGATGGGGCCTATTATGATTGGTTTCCTTTGATTAGGCCTAATTTAATTCGCATGTTTTAGATGACAAGCCCAAATCGCTTACAAAATGATACATAACCTAGATAGTTTTTACAAAAAAAACAAAACTAGCCTACTGAAAAAAATAGTACGGTAATAAGTTATGTACTGTATATTTTCCCCGTGAAGTAGCCTAGGTAGGCCTAAACAAAACCTTCCAATGACACCTCATTTATGAAAATTGATGAAGAAATAAGTAAGTACATAACTTAAGTAACTTAATGGCATACCGACAAAAAAAGCACTTTAGAAATTATATAGATAGACAAGGAGACGGCTGCACTTTAGTTTACGTCCTACATTTACTCACATACCGCCGTCCTACATTTACTCACATACCGCCACCGGTACTGCTGTTTGGTTAAGGCTAGGCTTAGTTTAGAACAGTTTCATTTTTCAATCAGCTGGTAGTTAATGTATAGGCCAGGCCTAATGTTTAATAATAGTAAATGTAGGATGTAAACTAAAGTGCAACCAAGGGGACTTGTCACAATCCACTCCTAAGCCTTTGGACCGCAGCTGTCCTGCAAATTACTCCACAGTCCGATATATCGGACGCTCGCTAAATGCTATTTTTCTGGCTTATTTTACACAAATGGATTTAGTATTGATTGGGCTTCATCGATAAACTACCTACATTTTTTTTTTAGCATTCTAATGGATTTGATTTTCTGCAGTAGGCCTACTTGTCTCGTAAACATTGAGATAAGTATATTATTACTTAGCTCAGTGCTCAGTGCTCGTAAGCAACGTGAAACAACAAGGAGATTGCGTCAGCGTCATCTGTTGTTTTGAAACAGGTTATACTTAGGTTAGTGGCAGTCTTTTCGTTAAGTTTTTTTTATTATATATTTTACAACAGTTTGGCCTAACCTTGGTTTAAAAAAAATCTGTCATTTTCGACATGCTAACTTAAGCAGAGTTAGATCATATTTAGTTTGGTAGAGGAGTGAGCCGGGCATTTTGGCACGTTGCAGTGTTTTTTATTAATGATTTTTCAAACCTGATTTTCTGGGTAAAAAAGTACCAGTGAATGTCCTAAGTAGGCCTCATAGTAAAAACACATTAAAAGTGATAGAAAATATAAAAAAAAACGCTGATTTTTAGCAGTTTTTGCAATTTTTAGGGTGAAATAGGCGTTTGCCCCAAAAGTGGCAAATGTAACAAGTATTCTAAATAGGCCAAATAATGAGAAATTTTTTTTTTAATTCATTAGAAGACCCAAAAGTAGCCTAAACAAATAGCCTACCGTGGTTTGTGTAGCCTAATTAATTCAACATGCAAATTGAAGACAAATAAAGAAAAGATATTTAATGCTGTAACAAACTAACATTCACTACACATCAGAACAATAAAAAATCACTAGTAAATATTGTTTTCTCCATGACAACAAGAATCAATAAAAATCATCCAAAGATAAACAAGTAAAAATGTCCACAATATCAAACAGCTGATGATAACTAATTTATATCACAAGCACACGCCCCTGTGGTGTCAACACCAGCACGACGGACATCAGCAATATGGTGTGGCATACCATCAACCTCTACGCTGGTTTGTGAGAGCTGCCGTGAGACCACACCAGGCTTCCATCTCGTAGTACATAGAAAGTTTTTAGGCTTGACAAACACAGGTTCATCAGGTGAAAACTCAGTTCTTAGTTGCTCGTCACAATTTACAGGTTCGCCCTTACACCTCAACCTGTAGCAGAACAATTTAGAGCTTGGTGCCGACTCTTCATACAAATCTTCTTTTGGTGTTAGATTATATCAATATACCATTTCTTGAACACTTCTTCTGGTTCTTTTTGCCATTCTCTTTATCGTTCTATGGTTTCTTTCAACGATTCCATTGCCGGACTGACGGTTTACACACCTAAAACGACGGATAACCCCCCATTTGTCACATATTTGTTCAATTTGTTCGCATCTGAATGTTGCACTATTGTCCATTAATAGTTCTTTGGTGGACCTCGTTCTGAAAACAGTTCAAGTAAGATTTTTACTACCTGTTCTTTAGTCTCACTTGGGATCCGTCGCCAAATGCAAAACCGACTCGGACCACAATCTATAATCGTAATAAATTTATATGACCCATAGTGAGTCACATCAATCACAAGCCTGTGCCAATTCTTGTCGCAATCCAAGTGCCCCGGCTTCCATTTTATGGGGGATGGATCAACAGATAAACATTCTTTGCATGATTTCACTACGCAGTCAATGTCCTGTTTGCTAAACTCAACGTCCGGGTAACAACGCCTGACTGTGTAAAGAGTCCGATTAACACCAAAGTGATGCAGACCATGGATTCTTTTTTCCAACTTTTGTTTATCCCCATCCTCTTCTTCATCCATCATTGAAATACTGGTCTTTTCCTCCTTTCTTGCCAACCACTTTTTAGAAACTCTTGCCAGGCGATCTGCTTTGTTAAATTGCTATTTAACCAGATCCATCCTCACCTTAAGGCCACATTCTGATATGAGGTCTTTTAACAAACCTAACCGTCTTCTTACAAGAGCTTTACCCATCCCATGTGTTTTAATACGTCGGTCTGCTGTAAATATGGATGTTACCCAAGCATAAACGGTGGCTGAATCTGTGACCAAGTATAACTCCTTCAAATTCCATTTCAAAGCTAAATTCACTCCTTTCAACAAAGCCCCTAACTCAGCTAAGTTAATATGCGCTGAATTATCTTCTTTCCTTAGCCAAGACGCATCCTCAACTATTTCACCATCAATTTCAATGCAAATACCGATCGCCAAGCTGCTAGCATCACGCCACACAAGGAGTACACATCCCTCTTGGTCTCAATTTTACCCAAAGCTTTGAAGAGAACACGCAGCTTTTAACTGGGTTTGAGTATCTTCTAGCAAGCCATGTACAACTGCGCTCTTAATCCATTCATCAGATACAAAAGGGTCCACAAATTTGGCCAGTCTCTTCAAATCAGAAGCATATACATCTAGTGACTCACCGGGGAGTAGACGCCTAGCTGTAAATTCTGCATAAGCCTGAAAACAGTTCACAGAAAAGGCCTGCAGCAATGCATTGGTGAGAGCCTCATAGTTACTCTTGACATTTTCTGTAAGTCCGTCATATACAGAAAATGCTTCTCCAGCCAAAAATAGGGGGAGAACTGTCTACAAGTCTTTCACCTTTTGGAGCTTACATACCAATTCTAGTTTCTTTAACCACTCACTAAAATCACCACTTCCATCATACTGCTTAATCAAGTCTGAGAACTTAACACCAGTACCTGATATAATGCCGAAATAGCTTGTAATTAATTCAACATGCAAATTGAAGACAAATAATGAAAGATATTTAATGCTGTAACAAACTAACATTCACTACACATCAGAACAATAAAAAATCACTAGTAAATATTATTTTCTCTATGACAACAAGAATCAATAAAAATATTGGAGTCTAAACCTTTGCTAAATCAACACGATGTTGTCCCCTGGCACTGCGGAGTGGGGGAAGCACAATTTTGGGGAAGAGCATTCTATTGGCTGAGGGAACACCATTACCGCAACGATACGGTTTGGAGCTGTACCGATTTTGTTGTAAAAGGCAACAAATCAATACAGGTTAATGCGAAGAACAGTCAGCTGGTTTCAACAATAGATCAGTATAGACCAGAATGCACCACGCACTAAAGACGGAGAGGGGATAAGGTTTAGCCGGGCGGCCATCTGTTTAAATCAGTACTCAGTCCTTACCCAAGTCTCATCGTAGCTAGTTCGGTAAAATTGTTTATCGTTCGTGGAAATTAAATTCATTTCGCGGCGTTTGGTCGGCCAATCTTAAATTTCCTTAAAGTCGTTCAGCCTATATCCCTAAGGGATATAATTGCCTCGCGATCGGAAATTAGAATCAGTGTTTTTGTCAAAAAGTGCAAAAGTTCGTTACCGGCCAAACGCAGTCCGCCATTTGAAAATTTCTCAAACGATTCACGAGTTCAATTGATCGCGTGTTGTAGTATACCGGCTAGTTACGTTTTCCCATCCTTTCCCCTTTGTGTTATATTTGTGGACGTCCAAACTGTAAGTAATTTTGTGTATTTATTTGTTAAATTGAGATTTTCAGTGAGTCGCACTTTGGTAAATTTTCCTGTCTTGTTTTGTCAATTCATGTAGAATAAGCACATGTTCATAGGTTCGATCACAATTTGTTGATTTTTAAATCCATTCATATTGTTGCAATCCGCTTTATTTATTAGACTGTGATATTTCTATAGTATTAAGAATAAATATATGAAAATGTTTTTATAGGGTAATTCAGAGTTGCTTTGTAATATTTTTATATAGTATTTGAATTTTGCACAGAGTCATTATTAAAAGTACAATTCGTTACAGAGTGTCACAATCAGCATTTTAATTTGGGGGAATCATTTAATATCAAAGGAGGGATTAGGTTGCTGGTTCGGCTGAATCGGGAAGTGTTATCGGAGGCTGTGCCAGTTTGCATATAGACGAACCGCCAAAGTGCCAAATTGCCAAATTAGCTATAAAACAATAAGCAACGTTCCAGTAAATATTATTACGATTAAACGCAATACTGTTTAATCAGTTGACCTTCGAGAATCGACCTTCATATTTACATCGTTGGCCAACGAACAGGACTTGTTTGGCACTGGTCGTCTCAAATTAAATTAAATACCACTCCTCCG